TCCTGGCGTCATCGGAGAAGTCGTCACCACCGCCGTCAAGGTCCTTCGTCTCTCTCTCTTCAACGATTCTTCTTCTTCCGAAGTGAAAAAGGATATGTAATTTGATGCATTTATTCATCCTTGATCTATTGCACAAATGGCACTCCTGTGCTTGAAAACACAATAGTAGACATTATTGGTTCGATACACGATTTTGATACTTCTTCAATGTTTTTCTAATGAGGAACTCCTGAAATTTGTAATTGTGATTCCAACTTATTCTTATTTTGGTAAGTGGATTCCAAACTGTGCAGGCTGGTTACAGGCACATTGATTGTGCAAGAGTGTATGATAATGAGAAGGAGGTAAGCAATTTTGAAATATCTGTTTCAATTCTTTATGCTCGTTCAAAGCTGATGTTCAGGTATGCCGATTGATTTTAATTTGTGTTGAAACTTCGTGGATCACAGATAGGGATGGCTCTGAAGGAACTGTTTTCTACTGGAGTAGTGAGCGAGAAGTGACATGTGGATTCACATCAAAACTATGGTATTTTTTTATTTATTCTTTTAAGTTCTTGTATTCTTAGGGAGTTCCTCTTCTAGTATTTATTCTATTTGATAGCGCTATCCTTTCATGGCTGGTTTAATGTCCTCATGGGATTTATATGATTTTGCTTCTCTTTTCTTGGTTTTTACTTTCTGATAGATATTACAGAAGCATAAAAAACAGAAATTATTAAAACTCGTGTTTTAGGTATTTTGCACCAAAAACGATCTTTTGTTTTTCTCCAAAATGAGCCTTCCTTTTCTTTTCTTATTTACCAGCTTTTGATTTATCATTTACCAACTGCTTTCTCTTTTATGTTTTGGAATATAGGTTTTTGTTTCAATGACAGTATCAAATCTCTCTGATATTATTCCGGCATATAGGTTTCTGTTTTTGACAACAGTACCAAATCCCTATGATATTGATTCTCACTAAGGCTTGTTTTAGCTCTGGAGCCAAATGATTAAGGTGACGGAGTACCTCTAATTTCAAATTTTAAATCTGCAGGTGCAGTGATCATGCACCTCAGGATGTCTCAAAGGCACTGACAAGAGCTTACAAGACCTGCAACTTGATTATATCGATCTATACCTTGTATGCTTCTTTATTTACATTCCTTCAGAGATTGGACTATTCTAATTTGCCTGCTTCTGTGAAATTTGAATTGATTTGGCCAGGACCTGAAAGGAATTCAGAAAAAAGCCATTCTAAGCAATGCCTTGAGTTATTGAAATGTAGGATGCCATAATTAGTTGGTACTTGCTGAAAACAAATTCTCTGAAGAAAAATGAACCTTCAATTTTGCATCAAAGAATTTCTGTTCGATTTGTTATTTGGTATAAGAGTTTTGTATGACAGATTCAATGGCCATTTCGGTCAAAACCTGGAAACACAAGGGTGGTTTCCTGAAAATATGGCTCCCTGTGCCTTGAAGAAACATGGACTGCAATGGAAGGATTGTTTGCTTCTTGGCCAGGCACGGGCAATTGGTCGTGAGCAAATTCTCCACGAAAAGCTGCAAGATCTATTGACTTATGCCAATGTCCCACCAGCTGTCAATCAGGTGGAGTGCCATCCTGTCTGGCAGCAACCTGCCCTTCACAATCTCTGAACTCTACTGGTGTTCACCTCTCGGTAATTTCTGAAAAGCAAGTAAACACTTGGATGAAGGGCCTTCTTTTCTTTTGGCTTAAAAGTTGAACATATAAATCTAAAATGGAAACTATTATGTTTGGCTTTCAGGCATGTGCTCCTCTGGGATCTCCAGGGTCTTGGGTGAAAGGTGAAGTCTTGCAGGAACCAACACTGGTTAAGGTTGCCCAGAAAACTTAACAAATCACCTGCACAAGTAGCTCTAGGTGGGGCATTCAAAGTGGTCACAGCGTCCTCCCTAAGAGTGTGAATGAACCCAGAATCAAGGAAAATTTTGACATATTTGACTGGAGCATACCCCTGATCTCTTCTCAGAATTGTCCCATATCCAGCAGGTAAGGATGCTACGAAATAATTGGCTGCCACATGTAAACTAATGAAGAAGGCTAAAATCCATTGGCAAAAAAATTGTTAGATTTTCATATAGAACAAGTGGGACCAAATCAAATTATTATTTTGTCAATTTCACACCTTTGTGTATCTTTTGTGGCTATTCTATGCATTAATAATGATATATGTATGGATAAAGATTCTGTTGAACTGATATACATAAGATAAAGAAACACAATTGCAAGTTCAGTGCATAAATTTTGTTTTGTGTTTTGCAGCAAAGGCTCCTCCGAGGGGATTTTGCAATCCTGAGAGCTGCAGCCCCTACAAAAGCCTCGAAAGATCTGTGGGATGGTGAAATTTGAAGCGAGTTTCACTCTTCTATTGGCTTCTGCACAAAAAAAAAATTCAGTGCATTGTTGTCAACAATCAAAGTCCAACTGCTTGGAGGAAAACACCAAAGAATACCATACAATCTGTATCAATTGCTGTCAGTCAATGTGTATCAATTGCTTGTTAGTCAATGTGCATCAATTGTTTCTTAGTCAATAACAATTTGTACCTCCTGTTTGCTACCTTACAGTCATCAAGCGGTGAAAAGATTTCTAAAAAATCAATGCTGGACTTTGTTTACAGTAGGAACTAGCAGATTATATGGAAGTAGGAAGGATTGCTAGGGAGTTATTGCTTGGATTTGATCTCACAAATTCTTCCCGAGTCTGGATCACAAAAGAAATACATGTGGCTATAAATATGTTTGATGTTATGGGCTTTTTCACTTTATTCTGGTTTGGCTTTGAAACTGATGATTTTGACTTTTGGCATTTTTAGGCCTAAAACTCAAATGGAAGCAAACACCTCGGGTATGATCTGTAATCCATCTATTAGCGTGGGTGGATTAATACAGTTATACGGGTATGGTGTTACTATGTATTCACCACTTTCCTGGTTAAAATTTGTGTTTGGTGAGAAATTTTAAAGTTTGGAGATTCTAAAGTTTTAAAAAAAATATTTTTGGAAAAAAACTAGAGGTTAGAATCTTGAAGTAATAAACTGGAGTTTTGAGTTATGATTCAGAATTTTGAGACTCATAATTCCTAAGCTCTAGATGATGTCAAACGTTTCAAAATTTCCTTAGTGTTCCGAAAAAAAAACTTTTGATTCAGCGTTTTCATGGCCCAACATTTTCAAATATTTTGGAAGTGCCAAACAACCCAATATCAAAGGATCTAATGCCTAAAAGATTTTGAATCTCTTGGATGTCAAATTACTAATATCCATAAAGTACCTTGCGCAGTAAATAGGATATTTGTTATTAAAAAGGAAAACATCCAAGGTGAATATACCCGCCAGGGAAAAAATGGTCTTCTTATATTTTTCATTTCTAAGGCTTTTACCCAGGCCCAGACTTTTATCCAATTCCTTCTTATAGTCGGCCTGATAATTGTTGGGTGTGTTATGGTAATTTATCAGGACAATATTCTGCTTTGTCTAGTTATCTTTGGCTTTTGCAAAGTCATCGAAATTGGGGATTCTAACATTTCTTAATAGTGGATGTAGCATCTCAAACTCATGAAAAGTTAAGAATCTTATGTGACTTATTTTTCATTGGGCATTACTAACGAACGCTTTCAGGGCACATCGTGGTCTAGAAGCTTCATGCAACTCATCCTCGTTGTTCTGCTCATGAGAAGAGCATTCTTCATTGTCTTTGGAATTGTGCTCGTTCTCATGAAATCTGGTTATCAGTTGTCTACAATTACCTCCTAACTTTTTTAGTCGTGATTAGGTCAATTGGGTTTACTTCTATGGCTAGACTTATGCATAATGCTTTTTTTTCCCGTTGGTTTGTGGTGGATATGGTGCTGAACAAATATATTAATTTTTAAAGAGAAGAAGTGGGACTGGGAGGGTGTTAAAAATTATTGAGTTTCCGAGACAAGAAGTATATTCAAATTTTTGTACTCTAATTCTTTGCAGGAATGAATTTTATCAGGAAGTTTGTTAGATTAAACCTACAGATGGACATGTTAAGCTGAATGTATATAGTAATCGTTAGGATAGTACTCTTATAACTAGTGATAGTGGCATCTTCTGCTCCTCAAATAGTACTTGGATTCTAGTTTTATTGGTTGTGCAGGGTAAATAAATATCTTGCAAATGGAGTCTTTGGCTATAAAGTATAGGTTACAACTGGTTTGGAATCTTAGTTATAGTGAAGCGCAATATGAAATTAATTCTTCGAGGCCATTAGACTAAGCTCTTCTTATATTTCATCAAGGTAGTCCTATTCACGATTCGTGAACCGACCTACACACAAAATTGAATTAACGTCCTGAACCTTTAAAAGAGAGAGAGTGAGTGAGTGAGTGAAATTCATTGATTTTGGTTGAGTTCAAGGTTAGGTGAAGAAGATTAGGGTTTAATTGAAGCAATTAAATCAAAGAATTGAATGAAATAAAAGAATTGGGGGTTAATTTAACAATTATGAGAGGTTTGATTGATGAAATTAAAAGAATGGGGTTCAAATTAAAAATTGTAAGGCTTTAATTGAAAGAAACTAAAGAGGAAGGACAAATATGAAGGTGTTGGAAAAGTCAAGGGCCGGAACAGAAGAAACGGGGGTCAAATGAAAGAAAATAAAATATGAGGCCTAGATTGAATGAACCAAAATGTAACATTTTAAACCGAGTCTGGTTAGCATGATAACATTTGCTCATGCATCATCTCATGACCTCATATGTCGTCTTTGCATGCATTACATGAATTAGTGATATTAGAATTTAGTGAAAATTAGTATAAATCTATAAGCACAACTTTAGAGTAGAGAAGAGAGATTAAGAGATTCTAGGAATTGGAAAATGGTATGATAGTAGAAGTAGAAGTAGAAGTGGGGATTTGCAATGAAAACATGAAGAAGTTTGGGAGAAAACTTAAAATTTGAGAACCTAAGTGAGCACTTAAATTAAGGAGATTGATAAACTTAATTAGTGAGTTAAACATGATTATAGGTTGCCTAATTTAAGAGATAAATAGGGGTATACGATGGAAGTTGAGAGGTAAAAATGGAATTGAAGTTGAGAGGTAAAATGGAATTGGAATTACAAGGATGTGAAAGAAAGTTAAAATTAAATTCTATAATAATTTTATACAAAAACTTCTAGAATGATGATGTTTTTTGTATAAAATTAATATAGAATTTAATTGTGCTTTCAATTTTTTATCATTTAATTGGAGTAAAATGATGTTTGAACTGGTCTTGCATGTTAAAATCCTAGCTGGACTGAACCATAAAGGAAGGAGAGAAACTTGCACAACTTTGTAGTTTTTGAGAAGATTAGTAGGAAAATTTGATTTGCTTTGAAAAATCTTGTGTTTCCATTGTTCAATTATGAACTTTAGTGATGTTATGGGGCTAGAAATAGAGGAGAAACAGGGGAGGTATATGTTGGAGAAAAGAAAGAAAAGATTAAGACAAGAAATGTGTCACGCCCCGATCCCGGGCCCATGACCGGCACTAGGATCCACTGACCCTAGTCAGCTCAAGACCATCTCACATGATTCAAAACCATCATATCATATGAATAATATCAAGTATATCATACAAACTCAATTTTCAAATACAAACCAGAATCTTGTCTGAGAATAACAAGGAGTCTCTAGAGTTTACAAAACAGTAACATAAATAAATGTGCCCGTACATCGATCGAATTTCGAAGCTCAAGACAAATCCTCCAACTGGAATACGAACAGTCAACCTGATCTGGAATGATAATAAAATGATGAGTCGTGAAATCTTAGCGAATACAGATGATACCTAGTCTATACATGTTGGATATGTATCATGCCACAAGTTCCAAACCCCTTTTTAACACATATAATATACAGTGAACAGTTCAATATCAAATCATACATATGTAGGAGTATAAATATCATATCACAATATTCCAGCCTTAATCATAGGCATTATAACCATAATCAATATCACATCAGATGGCCATCACCCAATCGGTTCACATCGCCCCCATCAGGGCCACCCACCAGGGCACCAGATCTCAGTTACCAAACATAACTCCCACATACAATTCAAACATACATACATATACATTTCAAAATCTCAAACCAGTATCGCATACCAATATAGCTCACTGACCATGTACCAAATCACATAACACATATCCCGTATGTATATACATTAAAATACAGTTTAGAAAAACATAAATCAATCAAGTCAAAATCACCATATGAAAACACAGACATAAAGAAGGTATCATCACTCACTGTACAGGAATCAAGCCAACAAAGAAGTCCCGTGTCACCCTCACCCGACTCACTAGTCTAGATGTACCTCCTCAGCCGTATCTGCAGTCAAAACCATACAAAATCATCACCAAAATTAAAATCAGCACAAGAAACGGGCTCAGTAACCAAACTGGCTTAAATCCCATCCCGGGACCCTTGGCATGCATCCCAAGGTGCCAAAACCCATCACAAGACTCACGTGTTTCACTAATACAGTCAATTTTCACCCAACAATCCTTAACAATGGTGAAACAGCCCTTAAAATCCCGAACCATAATAAATCGATCACTAAAAACCCTTGAACCAGCTTAAACTGGCCTAAAACTACCTCATCCCGAACTCGTTTGGCCTGAAACCCTCAAAATCAGATTCTGAAGGTCCAAAAACCCTAGGAACCACTATGAACCGGTCAAAAATGGGTCAAAATAAGGCTGAACCGGCCAATTTATTATTAATTTTCCTTGAACCGGGCTGGTTCAATCAAAATACTAAATTTCCGGTTAAACCGGACTTCCCCGAACCAACTCAGTTCAGTAGGTCTTTTCTCC